TTGAAAAGATCATTCTGGCCACAGACTGGAAAAATAGAGCAGCAAAGAACAGATGTGGAGCCGGCCAGGGACATGGTGGCTCAGACTACGGGGATGACAACGCACATGAGAAAAGTGGCTAGTATATTAAAAAACGGCAGCACTGCCTAAATGAACACATATAATTTGAGATTTTAAAAAGGCTTAATAGGCTCAACACCTGTGGCTCAAGTGGCTGGGGCGCCAGTCACATACACCTAAGGTGGCGGGTTCGAATCCAGTCCTGGGCCCGCCAAACAACAATGACGGCTGCAACCAAAAAATAGCCAGGCGTTGTGGCAGGCGCCTGTGGTCCCAGCTACTTGGGAGACGGAGGCAGGAGACTCGCTTGAACCCGGAGTTGGAGGTTGCTGTGAGCTGTGATGCCACAGCACTCTACCCAGGGGACAGCTTAAGGCTCTGTCTCAAAAAAAAGGCTTAATATGCAAGTATTACTAGAGATAAGGACATTGTCTAAAATTCATTCCTAACAATAGGATCAGCTGATCAACAGTAAATGACTGGCCACTAATCCTTCCTGTGGAAGGAAGGAGGGGATTATGGGAATGTTAGGATAAAGGAAAAGAAAGACACCAGTGCATAAATCAGGGCAGAGGATGGGGAAAGGGCCAGAAAAAGGAAGCAAAGGAAATGCATATTGTGCTAATTTTTCAGCTCTGCCTAATGGTGACTCGAATAACCTTCAACTGGGTTGGGATGAACAAAAGCGATTCTCAGAAGACTTTGTTCTCTAAGGTTGCAATTTCACATGATAAATGAAATCTTTTGTTATAAATATGCTTGATTCAAACATTAGAATATAAAACATTGTTTTATAAAAACATTAGAATCACAGAATTTTTAAAGATGAAAGGAAATTTACAGGTCATTTAGCCAAGCTTCAGCTATGGATTCCTAAGCTCGTCTTTCTACCTGCAGACAAGTCAGAAAGATTCATCTGGAGGCTGAAAGAATAAAGCCCTTCTATTCAGGTGGATAATTAAAATATAGAGGGTTTCAAAAGACAACTGAAGAACTGTTGGGCATATAAATACCACCCAAAGATTCAAAATAATGCAGGAAGAGGAGACAGGGTTTAGGTTCTCCAAAATTTTCCAGCTATTTTACTTAATGAGTTTTCTTTTAAAGAACACAAAGATGATTAACAAATGACTAATTTTAAGCTGTTAATCAAGATCATTTTGGCAATAATTTTTTGCCAGTTTGTTTTAGTGTTAAATAAAAAACTCGGCTGTATCATTTAGGCACTAGCAAGATTTAAATTTCTCATTTCCACAGCTACTGCATATTTGGCTAATTAATTCTAGCATTTGATAATGAAGAACCAGAAGAAAGAATATAAAGTTTCAAGTATAATATTAAAAGTTTCTAGACTAGGCTGGGCACCCATTTCTCAGTGGTTAGGGTGCCGATCACATGCCCTGGGGCTAGGGACTGCTAAACAAACAAACAAAAAAAAAACCAGGCATTGTGGCAGGCACCTGTAGTCCCAGCAACTAGGGAGGCTGAGGATAGAGAATCCCTTGAGCCCAAGAGTTTGAGGTTGCTGTGAGCTGTGACACCACAGTACTCTACTGAGAGGAACAAAGTGAGACTCTGTCTCAATTAAAAAAAAAAAATGTCTAGACTAGTAAAAACTCCAGCTATGTTTTAATCTCTTATAGTACTATGTACTTTAGGATGCATCTGAAAAAAGATTTCCTCTATAATGTCTGACCCAAACCTTTGTGGTAGCTAGCTTCTAAGAATGCCACAGCCTCCAATCTCTCCTCAGGGAGTCCCTTCCCACATTGTACCAGTTTTGGTCTATGTATGGGCAGAAGTGATGGTAGGTCACTTCCAAGATTAGATACCAAGATACTATAGTTTCCATCTTGATCATTAACATTTTTTCTCCCTCTCTGTCTGTGATCACTCACTGTGGAAGAAAGTTAACTGCCAGGCTCTGAGGAGTCCTAGGGAGAGGTGCAAGAGGTGTAGAACTGAGGCACCATCATGGCAGCAGATGCTCCAGCCTCAGTCAAGCCTTCAGATGACTGCAACCTCAGGAGAGACCCTGAACCAGAAGCACCCAGCCAAGCTGTTCCCAGATTCCTAAACTTCAGAAACTGTGTGAGATAATAAACATCTGTTGGTTGAAGTTGCTTAGTTTGGGGAAATTTGTTATACAGCAATAGAAAACTCATTCAAAAGGCAAACAAACTTCAGAGGCAGGACCAAACTACCGGACATCCTTCAACTCATGTCATGTATTAAGTAACATTGCATAGTTTGGAGTATTTTAATTTGGATCACGCCTAACTAGATATTTGCTATGTTAATTCCTATTCTAGACCTAAAATGTGCTATCTATAAATCACCCAGAAACCATTCACAAAAGCAACAGTGATGAAAATACTAGCACTTGTCAATTTTTAAAAATTCTCAAGAGAACACTCAGGAAAATTATAAGCAACCCCCCTTTTTTTTAAGCGACATAAACTTGAAATTGAGACCTGGCTTGTATTTTGCAGTTGCTATAGTAACCACAAATACTTTCCCTCTTTGATACTCAAGTTCCACATTCTCTTCATCTTTTTTTCCACTCTCACCCATCCAAAAGCACATACACCCTCTTGCCGACTGGTCTTTCCACTTTTTGGAATATCTAAGAATATACACACATATACACCAATGTTTATACTCCCAGATACCAAAAGAACCGAAGAGCTAAAGGAAATAGCTTATGGTCAAATCTCCAACGCCAGGCACTCCCCTGGCATGGGCTAGATCAGTGGGCCTGTGCCAACCAGAGAACTGATGCTCACTAAGTATTAGTTTCCCTCCTCCTCCTTACCCACCGCCACCATGCGATCAGAGAAGAGTTCCCTTTTCTCTGGTACTATGCTCTCCTGGAACTAACATTCAGGCTTTTCAACAACATGTATTTACTTAAAAAAAAATAGAAAATCCAAGTGTCTTGTACTTTTAACAGCAGAGGCTGTTTAGAAGTAACTGCAGCCAACGAAAAGTGGGACTCTGGTATATCAACTTGAGACAAGTTATACTGGAAACTTTCCAAGAGTTCACAAAGATCTCTTCCAACCCTGTAGTTCTAGGTTGTTAATACACTGTCTCCAAATTTAGCTTTCAGGAAAGGTCTCTAATTCATGTTTCTAACTTCCATAAACTAGAGAAGCAGGTAAGAATTTAGTAACTAATTCAAAGGGGAATAATTCGATTATGTGGTGCAAAGGATTATCTCAATTCTCAGGTTTAAACATTTTCATGGAAGATCAAGCCATCTTCAAAGAAGGTAAGACCCTTACAAATTTTCAAGGCAAAAATTTAGAACTCTTCCACTCCACCTGCCTTCTACCAACGCCTCTTCAGATCCCATGTAAGGCTCTAATTCCTGTTTTCTATCTTTACGTGTCTAGGTCCCATAAACCCTAAGATATTTAATAATTTATGCCCACGATTTTTTCTCAGACATATGGAAATCTTGCTGAGATCTCTAAAAAGAGTACCTGTTTTCAGTGGCAAATAATGTAAACAGAAAAGGAAAGAAAGGCCCAGATGTGGCCAGAACAAAGTAAACCAGCTGATACAACTAAAACCACACACAAGGGATATGCATCCCTGGCCTTCTTCCTTCTCTCACTGCCACAAAGAACACCTTAAATGTCCCTTATTTCATTTGATCCTAATAGTCAGGATAACTGTTATCACTATTTACAGATGACTCTGGAGCTCAGAGAGGTGAAAAACCATGTTCAAAATCACACCACAAGTTTCAGAACCAGCATCAAACCTAGGTCTTCACCCAACCCTCCTGTTCTTTCCAATATTCAACCCTACTTTTCACTCCATTTCTGGGTACTTTGATATTGTGCTCTATTGCACCAGTTTAAGGAACACTGCCTTGACCTGTTCTGAGCTTTGCCATCCAAGAGTCTTCTTGCTCTGCTTAGAACATCGGTCGTTTACACATCTGAAAGATAATGCTGTCGCTACAGATAATTGGAGCCCACTATCCATCCCCAAAACCTAAGAAGAAATGAGGTTAGGAAACTAGGACAGAGCAGAAAGTTCACTGTTCTTCTACAAGGGCTGCTGCAGTCAAGTCAGATAACTCAAATGAACAACGTACGCCTCTTCCGTCGACTATTACAATCAGTCCACCAAACACGAAAGCTTCTCCCCAGAAGACCCACCTGATAACGTTTCAAGTAGTCACCTGAAAATGAGCACAGAGAGGACACTGCTCAAACAATCAGTCTGGGTGCAGCTGTCTCTGGGGCCACACCAGCAGCACCAGACCGACCACGGAGAATATTGTATCCCTGCAACAGGACAAGAACAGGGGTGTTTCAGCCTGCTCCAGGCAAACAGTTAAAAGTCCATGGTGCTTCCCTTTAGAGGCCACCTTCCCAGTAAGCCCCTATCAAAAAGGAAGAGGTGTGGGGACAACTTCATGCTGTTGTGCAAGACAGGATCCAAAACAAGCCAAAAAACTTTGGGGACACAGCCCCGGTTCACCACTAGTACAAGTTCCTACCGTAGTAAGTTTTTGCAACACTTTGTAACTCTTACTCTGTCCAAAGCGGCAACTAAGGCACTGAGGAAGTGGACCATGTTTGGGCGGGAGGCCCCAAAGCTCAGGAAGTGGAAACAGAGCCACTTGTGGGAATAGAGAAGGAGCGACAGGGAGAGGCCGGGGCACCGCCCCCACTTCCTCAGCCCCAGGCCGACCTGGGAGGCTCCAGCGTTCCCCGGGTACCTCCCGGGGCTGAGCCGGGCCACAGCCCGGGCGTCGCCTTCCGCTGGCCTCAGGGTGCTACGTGTCCCGCCGCTGCCCGGCCACAACCCGGCGCGGAGAACATATAGGTAGGAGGCTACCAAGCCGAAGCGGCGCACCCCACTTCCCCAGCCCGCTCCCCGCCCGCCTCGCGGGGACTCTGCCGGCGCAGCTCCCTTACCTGGGACAGGTCCCACGCCGCCGCAGCCGTCCGCACCCGGGCCGCAGCTCTTAAACGCGCCCCGCCCTCTCCCGGGGCCGGACCCCAGCAGTCCTCGGTGGATTTGTCATTGAACAGCCTGGGCTAGCTTCCCCACCCCCTGAGCGCGCCCCCGGCGTCACCAGGCAACCCCTCCTCTCGAGAGCGCGCCCTCCCTTCCGTTCCCTCCCTCCCCCTGGAGGCCACGCCCATCACAGGCCCATTAGCCAATCCAAAGTGGATATTCCAAGGCTCAGGAGGCTGGGGAGGCTTCGCCAATGAGAAGCCGCCCCAAGAGGGAGGGGCGTGCCCAGCACACCCGCCCCACCCAATTCCATTTCCTCCTTTTCCCGACCGGCCGCGCTGCACGTGACTGCTGCTGCGGTGGACTAGCTACAACTGTTTGGGGGACACCGGCAGCTGGCCGGGGAGCCGTGCTCAGGTGGTGAGAGTTAGGCCAGGACCAGGCCAAAGTACTGGAAAGCAAAACGGAAGGGCAGATCCGATATACAGAACCCAAGAAAAATTACTGGGTGGCCAAGTGTGTTCTCAAGGACCTCCACCTGCCGCCACCACTCGTTAGCTAATGACATCCCATATCCTGTTAGAGGCTTTCATGGAGTTACTTAACCAATGCCTGTCTGTAGGGGAGCCAGGTCATACAGAAACTCCAGAATCTTACCCCAGCCGTACCCTTGAGGCAGGAAGTGCAATGGACCAACAGGTTTTCTCCCATGAACTGTTCCTGCCTTCACCCTCCACGACCGGAAACTCCTAATTTTATATCCAAACGGGTTGATTTTCCTAACCAACCACCTCCTCCTCCTCCACAGGTTTTGTGGCCTGACCCCTGCACAAACCTTACAGCATATCATACTGTATCAAAATTAATAGTTTAAATGTCCTCCTCTCTAATCTCTCATGAAGGGAATGATCTAATGTTCAGTGCAATATCCATAGCCGCCAACAATTAATTCTTCCGTTACTGATAATTATGATAGGATAACATGTGTATCTTATTAGAGGCTTTGAGCCTTGATTAGTTGCTGTGTATGAGCCACTAACAGATCCAGTCCTTCTATCAACATTTATAGCAAAAAGCACAGAATCTTCATAGGCTTTACAAAAAATGTAATCAGAATATCCTAGTATTATCTATTATTTTAAGTAATCTGTCTTCACCTTTCTCATGTACATTAAAAATATTTATTGAGTGCTAATGATATGACAAAAACTTTTAGGTACTCTAAAGAAGAAGGGGTAGGCGGCTTCTCAGAGGAAGCTCTCTAGAATTTATAACCTAGAACAGGAATCAGATTCAAGTCGTTTCATACAGAATAACAATTAAGTATACAGATTTGAAGTCAGGAAGCATAGGCTCAAAGGAGGGCTCTACCATGTAAATAGCAGTTAACTAAGAAGCTACTTAACCTGTGTGGTCCTCGGTACTGCCACACTGTAGGTGTGAAGATTTACATGAGATGACCACAGAACTCTCAGTACTAGGAACTTGGTGAATGCTATATGAATGTAAGCTTGCATTGTGATTGCCACCAGAGGCCACCATGTACATTCAAGCTCAGTATAACTGTCCTGGCATAGCCTTTCCTCCAAAACCAGCATCAAAGTGGGACTGACTATGCACAGCCTGCTGAAAAGGGCCTGCCTTGATACCCTTTGTCAAATACAAGTTCAAACAGGAGCACTACCACAGTGCCTACCCAGGTAAAATGAGTACTGTAATTCAGGGAACAGGGTCAGGAAGCCCCATCAGACCAGGATTCGTCCCTCCCCACCCCAGGATCTCCCGCAGTCACAGGAGGCTTTCCCACTTTTCCTGGGGTGCATGACCACCATTACTCTGCTTCACTAACAGGATGCATTAGGCTGAGAAATACTATATTAATTCTCTGCTCACATCCCCTACAGCACTGGGACTTCACCAGCAAGATCCTCTGCTCAGCTCCTGGACATGCCAGCCCTGAGATAAGTGTAGTAGATTCAGAAACAGATGGCAGAACCCTCTGGAGGGACTGTCTCTCACAGGATACCAGTCCAGAAATGTGTCCCACTAAGGGAAGGGGAGGCCACTGGCTTCACTGCCCCTGGGATGGCAAATGCCCTGTGTCAGGGATCTCATGTCTGCTAAGTGTCTCCTGACACAACTCTGATTCCCAGCAGATCTGGAGTGCTGAGCAGCAGAAATGCGAAGTCCCAGCTGGAAAATATTCTTCTTAGCAAAGAATTTTAAGAATGGAAGAAAAAGTATCCAATATACTCAACCCTATTATGAAACTAACTGTTAGCCATCATAGGAAAGCTATAACCCAAATTTTGTCCAAGAATATGGGGAAAGGGGAGAGAGAGGGGAGGGGAGGGGAGAGGAGGGGAGGGGAGAGGAGGGGAGGGGAGGAGGATGAGTGAAGGGAGGGGGATTGCAGGGATCATGCCTATGATTTATCTTATAAGGGTACATGTGAATCTTTCTAAATGTGGATTATAAATGTCTTAACACAACAACTATGAGAAAGACGTGAAGGCTATGTTGGCCAACTGGATGAAAGTATTTCAAATTGTATATGGAAACAACGCACTGTACCCCATGGTAGTATTAATGTGCACAAACGTGATTTAACATGAAGGTCCTTCTAACCCACTGCAGCTGTGGAAAAAAGCATTCTAGACCCTATCTCCTTCAAAAGTATTCACTGAGTACTGAGTGCGTTTTTAGTACTATTTGACAAATATTTCTACTTTCTTCTTTTGGGCACTGTGTAGGATTAAACTTTCTAGCTCTGTAGACAGTGGAGCTGCATGACTAACTGTAGAAATAACAGAAATAACCCAAATTATTTTTAGGCTAGAGAATGTAATTGCTGATGCAAGACCCTCCAGACCTCTCTTGTCCCTAGTACAGCCACTGGAAATGTTGAGGAGGGTGGCTGCTCCATCAGCCTGGGACCTTGACATGAGCACAGCTGCCCCACCAACCTATAATAGACATTTAGTATGCCTAAAAAATAAACCTTTGTGCTTTGAAGACACTAAGATTTGGGAGGTGTTTGTTACTGTACTGTAGCTTAGCCTACTCTGACTGATACAAGGCCCAACCATGTGCCAAGCATGGTGCTGGGATGTAGTGGTGAGCAACTCAGACAAGAGACCAGATAACAAGCCAGTAACCAAACAAAACAGCTCAATAATTACAAATTCTGTCATTACAAATTATCTTAGAGTGGGTGGTCAAAAAAGGCCTCTCATGTGAGGTAACATTTAAGCTAGAACCTAAAGGATGAGGAGAATCAATCTTGGCAAAAGTTGGGGGTGAGAGGAAGGACAAGGGAGTATTTCAGGCAGAGGAACAATTTTGTGCCAAGTTCCAGAACAGAAGAAAGCTTGGTGCTCTTAATAGAACAGCCAGGCGGCCTGGAGCTCTGAGCACGGGAGAAGGAGCAGACAGAATCAGATGGTGCAGGGGCTTCTAGGTCACTCTAGGTCACGGTGAGGAGTTTGGAATTCACTCCTAGTGTGGTGCACACTACTAAGGAGGTTCAAGCTAGGAGGCTACAGTGCTTTGGCTTAGGTTTTAAATAGATACCTCTGGCGTTGTGTGGGGGATGGGATGTAAGGAACTGATATGGGAATGAGGTTAGGAGGCCGTTCCATGGGTTCAAGTACAGGAGGGGCAGAGGACCAGAGGCTAGAAAGAGTAATCTGGCCTCAGCTAAAAGGAGATCTGGGGAGACTGCTGGTGGAGGGGAACAGGAGAGATGAAGACCAAACCAGGAGAGTCTTCCTGCCAACCCCCAGAGGCACCGGAGGCAAGATTTAAAGTTGGGGTCCCCAGAGATGCTTTGACACCAGGGAGAGGGGTGCTCAAAAGCCAGGCATGAAATGCAGGAGGGTGTGGAGTGGGACTGTAGACAGGTTTCTTGGAACAACAGCCAGCATTAGAGATTGCTTGGGTGAGCTGGCAGGATGATATAAATAGATGGTGTTATTAGAAAGTGTCTGGACAAGCTGCTGTGGGCCTCCCTGTGGGCATTCAATATTGGTGACCGCCTCAGTTAGAAAAGAACAGAAGCTGCTAATCTCCAGATGTGGCAGCCCTGCTCACCCACTGAGGATTAAGGAAAGGGTCTCCTCTAAGCAGCAAAGTAGATAGAGTTGGTCTTGAGCAGTTTGCTCACCTTTCTATTCGTTCTCCACCCTCAGTGCCCGAATGTTGTCTCCCCACTTCCTGCTGTCTAATCCTATTCTCAGGAACAGGTTTCACAGGCTCATTTGCATGCAGGAATAAATGACTAATATCAGCCCAATGTGTACCCACTCCTTCCTGGGCATTTGTGTCATCCAGTTGGTCAAAACCTGAAGTCCTTAGCCAGGGAACGTCTCTAGGGGGGACCTGGGATGTTCAGTTCACACCACTAGGATGAAGTGATTTGTACCTCCTCCAGAAAAAGCTCCTGAGTTCCCACATGAGGCCCAGCTAATAGTAACTCATCTTGGCAGACTCCTAGGCAGTCTGGGAATCACCCCCAGGCCTTCCTTTCCTTGCAGCCTTTTGCTTACAACTACCGAGAAAAGCTCCTGCCTTTTGTACAAACTCCCAAACATATACACAGTCTTGACTCTGTTACTCAATTTAGTGATTGCCACTATGGGGGGTGGGGGAGTGGTTAAAAAACCAATTTTTTCTAGGTTTGATTGAGAGCTTCCCTTTCTTATTACCTTCTTTCTCTGTGGTCCCTAACAGCCCCGGCCAGCCAGCAGGGACAAACCAGATGTTCCTAGGAATTGCTTTGCTGGAAAGTCAGAGGCCCAAGTAATTAGCTAAAGAATTAGCTTTCATCTTCCAATAGCAATTAATCTACTTGGAAAACACATTAGAAAAAAACAAGATTAATTTCTGTTTTAAATTATCGAATTAGCTGGACTTATCTTTCTGCCATCATACCTTACAGAGTGTTATCTCCTAGAAATGAAGTTGTCTGTCTTGGAACTGAGTAATACATCTTCATCATTTTTAATAATCCTCACTACATGCCCACACATATTCTCTCTTCCAGCTTTGTGGAGACGAGTGCTCCATACTTCCTACGATCTGCATAGTAAGCAAATGCTACAGATCTGGTAGCAACCTCAAGGTAGCCAGATAAAAGCTACCGCAGAGTGACAGCTACAGAGTACTCCAGGGTGAGATACGATGAGA